GCAGACGGAGACAAAAGGTAAACAAGGCTGAGGTCGAAACACAGGAAAACTAGACAGGAATAACGCGTTGTAATGTCATCTACAGATAAACAAGACTCGGCAAACTGAATGGGTAAGTGTATGGCTTAAATAGTGTGTGCAATCAGTCTCTGACAATCCTCAGGTGGTGCGAGTAATCAGTCTAGATGAGGAAGCATGTGTGTGTGACCGGAGTGCAAGTATGAAAGTGTAGTCCAGAAAATGGCAGATTTGTAGTCCATGGTTATAGTTAGTGCAAACCAGCGATCTTCTGAAAGACGATCGCTGGTAATCGTGACACCTAAGAACCAATCAGAAGACGTGAATCGAATCATATGTTTTCAATGTAACAGCGCTGATGTGCTGGCTTTTATAAGGAGATTGTTTTATTCCGCTGTCGATTTAAATTTTAAAAGAAGGAGTTCAGGATAAACAGGATGAAGCTGTCCGACTGTCAGTGAATGACAAATAAAAAAATCCCTTACCTTAAAACGCCTTCTAAAAATATTTTTCTGCATTATAAGTAAAAAAAACACACAGTACAGTTAGAAGTGTAGCATGCATTCATAACAGTGTTTTGCGCAGCAAATGAATGAGTCCGATTTACTACACATTAACGGCAACTGCACGAAACACGAAGTTAAGATGCCGTTCTTTTGTCCCGCATGGATGCTAGGAGGATAAACAAGAGACGAAAAAGAGACAAAGACCTTGAGTACGTTGAGAATGAATGACAGCTTCTAAAAGTTTCTGAGAGACATCCCTTTTGTGCTCAGTAGGCCTACCTTGTGTTTTATTTGCTAATGTAAGATATTTTTAAAGATAAATATAATTTATAAAACTATACATTATTTATATTACATCATAATATCTATATGTCTGATTAGCTTTTATATTAATGGACAATGCACAAATACTGATGTTTCACAATGTTTTACACTACATTATTTTAATCTACCATGATAAGTTTAGAATGTTTACATTGCTCTACTTACATTAAATCTAAATCCCAAATATCAGAAATGCCAACAGATTAAGAGTTTATTCATGTAAATTATAATGTTATTGATTAATGCACTTACTTGACAGATTTCACTCATTTATTTTCCTTCTGCTTAGTCCCTGGTTTATCAGGGGTTTTCACAGCAGAATGAACCGTCACTTACTTGACAGATTTAGGTATTTTTAATTTTCGGTGGTTTGTGTAATGTTTTTTTATGTTTGGTGAAGTATTTTCTAATTGCATCTATAGTGATTTTTCAACTAATTACACTGCCTTTGTGGATTTAGAGGTTTTTGCAAAAAAAACCAAAAAAAAAAACAGAAGTGGATTTTGCTGGTTTTGACACAAAACAAAATCTACCTTGCTAAAAACCAAAGAAAAAAAAGTTATTTTATTTACCAGCTAATAACCTTGTCATTTTCTATAAAATGAAACTTCTGAGCCTAATTATAGGAGCCTGATAGAAAATACTAATTTACAAGAAAAGAGGTTTGATGGATTTAGAGGGATTTGCATCTGAACTCTTCGAGTGAAGAGTGACTAAATGACCACAGAATCTTCATTCATTAAGTGAACTATCACTTTAATACAAATGAATCACTTAGGATTCTCTTTAATGATCTACCAAAGACAAAAGGTCACCTGCAGCTCAAGTAAACAAGTAAATGAACAGCAACGTTACATTTTCTAGTGAACCATCCCTCTCGTTCATCTAGTTTAGCCTCCAGGCGAAAGAGCACTGGAACATCCAGCTTTTGAGGCAATGTGAAAAATGACTGACTCATGCTCAGAATGTCAATTTAGAGATTGTTTTTCATCGGCTGACTGAAGGTTACCTCTGACACACATGCATTGTAAATGTCAACATGCAAATCCTCGCGCACATGAGATTAGCACCACAGGGCAAAGATATGAGGTGGCTGTGTGTGTTTGTGTGTGTGTGTGTGAGAGAATCACTCTGTGAGATCACCGCCATATTGCTTTACTTTAGAAAAGCAGGAACACGTGTAATGAACAGGCCAAGCTACGAATGCTTACAGCAAAAACCGCCGATTACACAAAGAGCTGCCCACTCAAACAATATATGCCTAGCGGGTCAACATCATTTACACAGAGGTATGGAAATAATACCGTGTTGACATGTAAGACTCCTTGGGAAGATTGTGTGTGAAAGGTTGATTAATTCTGGAGCGTCACGGATGCGTGGCTGTCAGTGCCTGATGGCCGTGGGTGGCTGAGCTGCAGAGAAACGGATTCAGATCATTAGAGAAACCACAGGTCATTTACTGGGCCCGCAGTGTGATCTCTCTGACACTATTCTTCAATGTTAAAACAGTGTATCCACAGCTTGCGTCTCCATGGGCTTCAAATAGCCCAGATGTGGAGGGCCTGGAGAGACTCAGTTCAGGGGGTACAACACATTAGTGTCTGCAAGAGCCATTTGCAAAAGTGTGCATGTGTTTACTGGAAGTGCTGCGATATTTTAGTTGGATGACAGAGCCTCTGATATTTTGTTTGGCTATGTTGAACTATTTTAGATCATTATGTAGACTGTTGGAGGTGTAAATAAGGTAGGGTCTGGAAGTGTTTCAGTTCCCACCAACTTCTGTTGTAGTTTTTGTAGTTTTGGTGGTAATCTATAGAAAGTGAAAGTTTGGTTTACTAAAATTCTTAAGGATATCTTCATTTGATTTTTTTGTTTGTTTTTAATGTTTGTTTGTTATAAATATAAATTATTATTATTATTATGTCATTCATTCATTCATTTTCTTTTCGGCTTAGTCCCTTTATTAATCAGGGGTCTCCACAGCGGAATGAACCGCCAACTTTTACAGCATATGTTTTACGCAGTGGATGCCCTTCCAGCCATAACCCATTACTGGGAAACAGCCATACACATTCACTTATAGCGCATGTCTTTGGACTGTGGGGGAAACCGGAGCACCCGGAGGAAACCCACGCAAACACAGGGCGAACATGCAAACTCCACACAGAAATGCCAACTGACCCAGCCGGGGCTCGAATCAGTGACCTTTTTGCAGTGAGGCGATAATCCTACCCACTGCGCCAGCGTGCTTTCTGGTTAATAATAATAATGATAATAATAATAATAATAGTAATAATAAATACAAATTATAACAAATGAACAACAGTAATAATTTTTCAATTTTTCAATAACTACAAATTATTATTAATATTATTATTACAATTGATTAGTACTTTACTTTCTTATTTAATTTAATATTTTTTTAGGTTTATTGTTAATAATAATAATAATAATAATAATAATAATAATAATAAGAATAAGAAGAAGAAGAAGAAGAATAAGAAGAAATAATGATTATGATGATCATAATGATAATATCAAATCAACAGTAATAATTTAAGTTGTAAAATTTTTTTAAATAACTGCAATTTATTATTATAAAATTATAAATATAATTACAGTTCAGTAGTATTATAGCAGTATTAATTATTATTACATTTCTTGAAATATTAAGTTTATTAATAGTTTAATTTCTCATTTAATTCAATTAATTTGCATGTTTATTGTTATTAATCATAACAATAATAACAACAGTAATAATTGAAGTTGTTCTTTTTTTAAATAACTACAAATTAATCTTATTATTATTGTTATTATTATTATTTTTATTAGTTTATGAACGTAATTAGAGCTTAGTAGTATTATAGCTGTATTATTACATTTATTAAAGTATAAAATGTATTAGTACTTTAATTACTAATTTATTTTTAATTAATTTGTATTTTATTGTTAATAATAATAACAAAAACAACAATGATAATGATAATAATAAAAAAACCAACAACAGTATTTTTAGTTTTTTTAAATAACTACGAATTAGTATTATTATTTTATAAATATAATTACAGTTCAGTAGTACTATAGCATTATTAATTATTACATTTATAAAAATATGACATTTATTAGTACTTTTTTCCTATTTAATTTTATTATTTTGTATTTTTGTTGTTAATGATAATAATGATAATGGTAATAATAATAATAATAATAATAATAATAATAATAATAATAATAATAATAATAAAAATAAAAATAATAATAATAATAATAACAAATAAACAACAGTAATAATTTAAGTAGTTCTTTTTTATTTAAAAAACACAAGTAATCCACATACAGTTTTTACTGTATAATAATACATATTTAGAGATAGAAAATGATCAAGTTACCTCTCATTTACAGGCATGTCAATATTTCAAAAATTATGTATAGAATAATAAATAAATAAATGTAATTATTGTTCTTATGTAAAATCATTCCAGATGGATGTTTGAGCATTTTACCTTCCTTTCATTGTATCGCTTTTAATGATTTATTTATCATTTGGGTTTTTAATGAGTTATCTTTAATTTAGTTTTAAATGTTTCTGGGTTGCAGGGCATCCACTGCATAAAACATATGCTGGATATGTTGGTGGTTCATTCTGCTGGGGGGACCTCATATTAATAAAGGGATTAAAGGCGAAAAGAAAATGAATGAATTAATAATTTAGTTTTAAATATGTAAGGATTGTACAAAAGTGGGTTAAGCATGATTTGAGCTGTTTTGAAGATTTGATGCATTATTAAATGCACATTATTTTGTGCACGGCTGCACATTTCTATTTGTTCATAAATGTTTATGATAGCAATTCATTTTACAATTCTACTTAAAGTTGCCTGTGATTATTTTGTATTTTAATTCTACAATTAATTTTAAGTTGTGAATAAACCTATTTGAACATGTTTGCTGTTTGTATGATTTATTTATTCTATTTTGACAATACTTCATAAAAGACTCCAGTGGTTTTGTAGTAGATATATCTTCATGTTCTATTCCTGTCTTCTGACTAGTGGTGTGATTTGTAGTGATTTACATAGCAGAGGGACCTATTTTCTAAAAGCAGCGCGCTGGCCCTTTAAGAGCTGAGAAACTGCACTTGACGTCCAGCGGACTCTCGCTTTGCCAGCAGCAGTCAGTCAGTGACACACACACACACACGGACTCAAGTCATCTCTGAACCGCACAGATTCTCGCTCAGTCGCATCGTGTATTTACAGTCAGCGCCTTGTAAACGACAAGTAGATAGAATGGGCACGAACTGCTTTAGTCGAATCACAGCCGTGTGGAGATAAGAGGGCGGAAACGCGAGTAAAACAGACCGAGGAGAAAGAAAAACAGACGAGGAGCGCGAGAAGGCCGAACCCGTCGAGGCAGTTGCAGTTTTTCGAGCGACGCTCAAGTGGATTTGGGGCTCAAACCGACGAGGACGAAAACACGGCCGTAGCAAAACGTACATGTGGATTATTTCTTCATTTCTTTCTCTTCAGAAACTACATAAACGTCCTGTAGCGACAGACCTTTACCTTTCGCGGAGAGGTAAGTTACTACAAGACGCTTTGCCCACGAGTGTGTCAGCCGTTGGCCGTTTTGAGTGTGCCGAGAGTTCCCAGAACCGGGTGTCTGAGTAACCGGGTCTGTCCGCGGTTAACGGTCGTTATTCTGTCACTGAACCCCTGTTAGATTGAATGAGCGTCGCCGCGCAAGGCGGAAATCAATTTCTCCGTGAAGACTGGCCGGCTAGTTAGCATAGCTAACGTTAGCAGTGATTGTGATTTAACGTTACAGGGAATGACGTTAAATTCCGCCCGGTACGCTACGTTATACATTAGGTCTGATTTCCAGCATAATATTATTTATTTTCAAGCAAAGCAGATTATGCCATTGAGCGCGTCTCTTGGCTGCTGAGGTAGCTGAGTTAGCTCGCTTTATGTGTTGTTATTGTATTAAATGCTTGGCTAGTTCTGTAGTAACCCTGCCGGGTGCATGCTAAAAGATGGGTAACGTTATAACTTAGTTTCCGTCTGTTTTGGATATTTCTGCTGTTTCGATCACATTACGTCCGTGGTATTTCTTTGCCAGCATTTCATTGTTGAGTTTGTACAGATGAGGGTATTTGTACTCATGCAGTTATATTATGGTTTACCAAAAATAACGCGACATGATGTTGTTGACCAAGGAGATTCGTTTAGAATCGTTTTGTTGTTGCTGCTTTGTCCAAACTTATGAAACTAACGCTAGGTACATTAATTATAATATTTGTAGTTTAGATTGACATATGCTAAACCCCTAAATAAAAACATCAGAACATCAACGCATATTTGTATAGAACAAAACGTAAAAACTACATTTATTATTATTATTATTAACTTATTATTATTATTATTATTATGACAGCTACTATTATAATCAGCTTCTCATTGTTGCTTTTTGTTTTATTTAGAGCTTTTATTTGCAGAAAAATTTAAATATTGGACATGCATACATATTTCTTCTTTTACACAGTAAATGTAAGTATAATTAAATGCATTTATTTTACACATGAATGCATTTTTAGTATGTGCATTTATATCATTAGTGCTGGGTAATGATTAATTGCATCCAAAGTTATATTTTGTGTTTATATATATATATATATATATATATATATATATATATATATATATATATATATATATATTATACTAAGTTTATTATGCATTAAAAATGGACATGTGTGCAAATTTTTTATGAAAAGTTTTATTTAATATATGTATATATTGTTTTGTTTTATTAGGCACTAATTATTATATTTATATTTACCAATTTTCATGTTTTGCAAATAAATGCTTAAATTTTATTCTTTAAAATTTTGAAATGGTTATTTCTAAACATTGATTTAAAACCCAAATTAACATTTTACACTATCTATTAGAGCTGCACGATGTTGGAAAAATCTAATGTTGCGTTAAAAAAAATATATATTCAGCAATATATATTGCGACATGAATACAATTTTCTAGTTGTTGAAACTATTTGGAAATTATTTCTTATTTTAGATTGATTGGGATTATTCTTCATAGGAGAGCATAAAATATAATAAACAATCTACAAGCATAGATAAGTTCATTAAAGAAAAATATACAAATAAAAAAAACATTGTTATCGTTTTCTCAAAGAGTTGAACTGTATTCAGGTATACAGTAATTGAATAATCAAATGTAAAATAAAAATGTAAAGATTCTATAAAAATAATAGTTTTTAATTTATTAAATTACAAATGGTATAATTTTTTATGCCTAAATGCTTTTAAACCCTATTAAATTCCCAAGCCTCAGAAAACACTTGCGGAACTATGATTATAATCTAAACTCAGCGTTGAGTATTCTTGCGTTGTGACTATTGCGAATGAACACATTATGATATCAATGCTGAAATGAAATATTATCTATCTATCTATCTATCTATCTATCTATCTATCTATCTATCTATCTATCTATCTATCTATCTATCTATCTATCTATCTATCTAATTCTTTCTCATAAATCAGGACCATTTACTCACTCATCTCCCCCCCCCCCCACTCACCCCCTCCCCTTTTGTTTATCCTAGTATACAGATAACATAATGGGTTAAAGACCATTAGGGCATGGGAATGGCCTTCATGCACTTATGACTTAACAATGTGTGGATTGTAAGCCCATATTTAGGGCTGGAGCTCGAGTAGTGACGTACTGAAATGCAATTGTTAGTGTAAGACTTGACAAACTGCCTCAATATTCATTGTTTTCAATGCAAAGCTAAGACTGTTGATTTTGTCACCGTACTGTAAATATCACTTTTGAAAGAAGCCACTTTTGAAAGAGTCCTTGTATAAACATGATGGGTTAACATCATTTGCAGACCTCCCCACCCCCTTCACAAAGCACCTTCATAGCACACTGACGATGAGGCTTTTCGTGTCTCGGATGTTGTTATTAAGGGTCAATAAATCATAGTGGATCCCAAATGCTTGTCAACAGCTGTTGATTTGCACATGAAAGGCAGTGGAATGTGAAAAATGGAGGCCACACAGCTTAAGTGTATTAGCGTAATTGGACATGGGCCAGCGGAGAGCTTTTTTTTTTCTTTCTCTTGAGCAGCATTCTTTCCCACTGTACATTTGAAGAGAACAAAGCTCGGTGTCATAAGTAGACCAGCGAGATGCCTGAACCCAAAACAGAACTGGCCTCAGACAACCTCTTTGCTCTGCAGGGCTGCCAGGACTCATGGCCAGAAAACAACAGATTTGTTTTGGACTCGCATCAACTCCAGTTCCACCCCTCCGCGGTGTGTATTGAGTAATGATATTCTTTCTCCCTCTCCTCACTGTCCTCATTGCAGAACTGAGATAAGCATTGAAAAGAAAGCAAAAAGTTTGTCTTCTAACCATTGTTTGGTGAAATGTGGAGCTGGTTTAGCACTTCATCTCTGTCTCTTTTCAGAATGCTTTGCACAAACTCTTCTGCAATTGTGCACAGCAGTTTTCCAGCTGCATGCTTTATTACAGCAGACCTTTTAGTTAATTCATGTCAGATGTCTTTTTTCTCTCTCCTTATATGAACTCTGCAGCATGCTTGAGTAGTATTCAGGGACAAGATAAGGAGTTGATAGCTTACAAAGTGTTTGTCCTTGACTCCGTTCTTCAGTTTGATAAATGAGCAGCTACAGAGGAAATTAAAGGTATGCAAAATGAGGTCTGTGCAAGCAGACTTCTTGGCTTCTCCTCATGTCGTCAGTCTTTGTATCGACTTTGGTGGACCACTTTGCTGAGTTGGCTGCGCTATATTGGGTGGGTTTTGCCACTGTTGCAGTGCTGTCACTATAGGATCTGCTTCTGCAATCTGCTGCAGAGGCATTTGTCAAACACCACCACTTTTCTAAAATAATACAATATAATATACAGTAATATAATGTAATATAATACACAGTAATACAATACAATATAATGTAATAGGGATGCTCCAATGTCGAGTTCCGATTCCTTTTTATGGTGATCGGCCAATACTGAGTACCAATTCTGATGCTTTAAGCTTTATGAAACTTTGCAATTGCATAGAGCACATTTTTCCTTCAAGTATAATAAAGTGGAAATCTCTCCTAAATTAATGATGTTGAATATATCCCTTAAACTTGTCTCTTATAAATATTTAGTGTGGACATGTAATGGTTGAAGCAGATTTACAGAAAATAATAGCTAAAACGTAATTTTTTTTTGTAAACATGATGTAAAAAGTACCCATAAATCCATTACTTCTTTCCTAAAAAAATAGGCCTTTAAACTACTGTTTATTGCAAGTGGTGCTCGCTGCAGAGCCATTTGGGCGAGCTGAGCTCCAGCGAGGGGGAGCTTGAGCTTGAGCTCCACCTTTTTTGCACTTCTTCTACGAGTGATGTCACTGGGGGTAGGGTTAGGGGTGGGGTTGGTGTACGCATTAAAACAGCTTACAGGAGGCAGAACGAGAGCTCATGCTCCCCCTCTGCAGCGAGCATCCTCTCGTTTATTGCAAAAAGTATATTAAATTTACATTACATTATTAAATATATTGAAGTAAAAATAGTTTTACGTTTTAGTTTTGCATTTCCCTAATATTAAGAGACCGGTTTTAGTGAACTTGCAATATTAATAATTAATGTTGATAGCAGCAGAATGATTGCAGCTCCAGACAGCCGCTGTGTTGGGAACACAAAAATCAATCATGCCTGCACACATCATTTACCTCTTCACATGTTGTAGACTTGTAAACAAACCACTGCGATCGGTTCGTAAGATCGGCCAGATTGGCGAGTACCGATTGAGTCATGAAATGTGATTTACGGCATTTACCGATTTCAGGCTCATTAATCGGAGCATCCATATAATATAACAGTGTTTTCCAGCTGTGGCGGCAGGCCTTTTTAACAGATCTACCAACTACCTGTGGCATTATTTTAATGACAAATGTTATGAGCGCAGTATTACAAGTTGAGATCGCATTGATGGAATAGCCTACAGCATGCAAATCTCTTTGCTTGCACACCGATTTCCTCTACTCGTGCACAAAACTTCTTGCACGCCCCCTCAAATGTACACTGCTCAAGCGCAGATCTTCTTGTGCGCTTAAATAAACGCTGCTGATGTCTGATTTAGTGCGTTTATGTAAAGTATGTCTCCAACATTTATAAAATTTGCTAGGAATATATATGAATGTCTCCAATAAACTTACAGAGCGGTATTAATGCGCCCTAAAGTAAAGTGAAACGGCTATACGTCGTGTTTGCTGGCCTCACGCATCAGTCGTGACTGTCAGTCAGTCAGCACGTAATCTTAAAGGTTAAACAAATAAGGCACAGCACTATTACAGTTACAGAAAAGTTTGCGTTGTTATAATTCACTTACCCTTTAATACATTTTGGTGCAATTATCACCCGCTACACCAGATGTGGCACGTGCAAATAAATCACACTATTCGTGCGAAAATAGACGTGTGAGCATTTTGAGTTTACTTGCTTTATTTGCTTGTCTCAAATTTTCTTCATTCACATGTCAAATTCGCTTCATTCATGGGTCAAATTCACTTCACAATAGATGCGGGTTCACATCAGCAGGGCTTCTGTCTGCCCTGTGACTCTAGCTTCGTTACTAAATGGCTAACATGAATTTTACTAAGATTGTAGCTGTGCATTATGTGCTTTAGAAAGGCAGAAAAACAGCGTAGATTCGTTTGTGCTGTGTCTGAGTGCTTTAGATCCCAGCTCTGTGACTTAATCAACTCGCCCTGAAACCTAGCTAGATGATGGAGGCTTTCAACTGTTCTTCTTCTGACTGAGCCGAGCCCAGTTTGATGAACTGTTGTCCGGTGTGGGCAAGAGGATTTCCCTTCGGTACACCAACAACAGGCACTACATCATAATCACTCCCCTCAAAGAGCAAGCTCATGATTGGTTAAATGTCACTGAACTTGCGCTGCTTCATTCGTGTGAATCGTGTCATTCACGCCACCTCATTCACACGAATTACATCTCAAGATACCTATTCGCATCCTTTCATTGACTTAACATTTAAATCAAGCACGCTTGATGCTTCATCTGCTTTAAGTGTGAACGCAGGCTACGCAGCATCAGATGCTGAATTGCTGTCCAGATCAAAGCAACATATATTTTTATTATCTCATGACGGTTGCTTGTGGTTCCCAATATTCTTATGAAAATTGTGATGAAGTTTTTGCAATAGTCTTTGAATATTAGGCCATTTTTGAAATTCTTTGAATCACATTACTGTTTTTGGCATATTTAATCAATTTATTTTGTCTTTGAAGAATATAAATAAATTATTATTGTACTAAAAAACTTGAAATACTTGTATACATACATTTATAATCCTGCAAACTGTATGGTACTTTATTTCCTGTTTTATTGCTTCATTTAAATGCAATAAACTATTTGTAGACAACATTGTTTAACAAAGATCTTTCCATTACACATTATAATAATCTGAGATTAAGTGTATTTCTAAATATTATAATCACTTTCAGTGCAAATTTATATAAGCTGCCTAAGTCAGTGAATAGCACTTTTTAAGAGACTTCGTTTTCTCCTTTCACCCACCTTTGTGTTCAGTTTGGTTGTCTGCTATCAGCAGCAGTTGTGTCATATCAGGCACAGTTAGATAAGGTAGAATTGCTGGAGTTCCCCCAGTGGTGGTGTAATATCAGCATGACGTAACAACTAGTGCACGATGTGTAATGTTGACACTGGTGTGTTTGTTAGCTCAGTGAAGCAATAATACTCCATATCTGCTGTTAATGCCACCATATCTGGAGAGACGTTTAGAGATTAGAAGTTAAGGTCAGTCATGCATTTAGGGCCAACATTTTTTTCCAAATGACCTTTGACATACATTGATGAAACGTATTCTCTAGAGCTTTCTTTGAGAGTCACTTCTTTTCGCAGTTTATGAAAAAAAAAAAAAAAATCACACTGAATTGTTGAAAAGGGGTTGTTTTCAATTGCATAATAATAGTAATTGAATTAGTTTTTATGCAAAATGTGTAGGGAATAGAGTCTATCAAAAATAAGCCTGACTGATCCCATTAGCTAAGGCACCATTTTGAACTTACTCCCATGGCATCTGTCCTGCGCTAGAGGTGGTCAGTGTGTGTTCTGTCACTGTAAGTGTTGAAAACATGTGCCCATGGCCAAGTGTTTGATTGCTAAAAAGGGCCAGCGTAAATAGGCTGCAAATACCATTAAGGCTATTTGACTAATGGCCTCATGCCGAAGGTCAGGGAGCTTTTGTTTTTATTGCGAGGGATGTGCATTTGTAGTGTCTTTGTTAGTGGCTGCTGGTTTGAACCATTAGAATGCATTATAAGAAGGTCATTTGAACTTAAGTGTCTGGCGGAGTTTGGAGCGGAGTGCACACCAGCATTCCGGGTGCTTTAAAAGAAGTCCTTGATCTGACATCAATTTTGTATATGGTCAGAACGGAGTACTAGTGCTGAGTACCCCATTAAAGTTCAGTGTCTGGAGGTCTTGACTGTCAGCCACTCCCCGCAGCTCTTCACATGGATTGGGCAAACAGCCACTACTCACCTTTCCTCTACTCTCATACGCCTCCTGTGTTATCTCTGCAGTCGGTTCCTCTTTTTTGTTACACAAAGGTGACTTGCTTCACAGAAACAGCTTAAAATAACATCAAAGTCTTTTACAGTTGTACAACTTATGACTAGAATATACTAGCATCTAAACAAATGGATACAAGTGTATGACAGTTTAGTCCAAGCTATGCTGTTAGGTTTTATTTGATTTTACTTTTGGCTGTTGAAAATGATCATCACATGTCTTTTATAGCTCATTTATTCATTCTTTAATTCATTCATTTGTTCATTCTTTCTTTTTCTGATTTTCATTTGCTTGATGCAACATTTTTCGATGTATGGTCTGTCTTTGATGGGGGGAGTGAGCACACATCAGAACAGATTTTTTTTCTGTGCATGATATACAGAGATTGTGATGGGCCGTATGATTGGGGATACACCGATACCATTTTTTTGGAACCGATCCAAATATCGCTAACAGTGCCATCCCTATGTATGATGGTATAAAGCATTATCAAAAAGTAAATGATAAGTTTAAGTTTTGATAAGTCTATAATAGACTTTTTTTTAAAATCATGTGTGTACTGTGGCATGTAAATAAGTGGTCATGGCTAAATCACCTGTAGTGTGCGCAAGCTTGATCAAGAAGCTTCTAATGAGGAAAAACTGTCCAATTCTGGTTGATCTTTAATTATGTTAGCTTGTAGGCTG